TATCACTCACTCTCGTGTGTGTGTGTGTGTGTGTGTGTGTACTGGGGGAGATATATCACTGGTGTGTGTGTGTGTGTGTGTACACTGGAGGTGAGATATCACTCACCCTGCCTTCCCCCTTATCCATACCCTTACCAAGACCAAACCAAACCCCTCAGCACCGAGTGGACTCTGGGTCACAGGCAGGGTAATTAGGTTTGTGCCGCTGTAAATCCTTATGGGAGGAGAAGGCCTCCTCTGTGTCCTAGAGCAGCTGGTGGATTTGAACTGTTGACCTAGTAGAAACCCACTCCACCACCAAGGGGACCACGCTTTTAATGTCCCCAATTTACGAATGGGCACAGAAAGGGTAGGTGCCCTGAGTGACTGTCCCAAGACCAGACGTGGGGAGATGAAATGTAAGACATCCCTCTCCCGGGGACATCGACGGGGTGGGGGGAGGGTCGGCGGCTGGTGGAAAGGTAACTCTTTTTGGCTGAATTCACAATCAGCCTTTGAGCTGGGGCGGTGCGGGGGCTCCTTCAACGCTCAGGTACTCATCTACGCATTGGGCATCCTGCTCGCCTCGCTATTTTGCAGGTTGGCAGTGATGAGAGTCAACGCGGAGCGCCAGTGAGAGCGGACATCAGACAAAACGCTCCAAGTCCCCGTACGATGTCGTCGAAGCTCCAAAAGGCGAACTCAAAGCTGGGGCGTTGTGTGGTTCGACGACGGCAGTTTAACGTGATTGAGCTTTGCTACTGAAAATAAGCACAGTTTTTATCCAGAGGCGTGGGCCCGCGAAGGTGCGGTAAAGTAACAAGAAACCCCACTCACTCCCACTCGCCAGAAAAACTGGCCGCGCGCGTCACGTGGCCGCGCGCGTCACGTGACATGGCGCGCCTCACCCTCGCGGGCGGGTTAACCCCTTCACGCAGGCGCCGTCGGGAGGCCTGGAGGAGAGCGCGCGCTCAGGGCCCCGCCCCTGGGGCGGGGCATCCCTGCCGCGCCTGCGCTGTACAAGGCTCGTGCGGCGGCGGGGGCGGGGCCGTGCGGAGGCCGGAAGGAAGAGGCTGCCGGGCTGGGCGAACGAGGGTAGCCCGCCTGCCTCTGAGCGGCGTCGCGACCTGATGACGTCGCACAATGGCCGGCCCCCGCGGGTAGTGGAGCCCGTTTGTTCCGCCCGCGTCGCGACTAAAGCCGGAGCCTGTGAGGAGCGGAAGGGCCGAGGGGCGTCCTCTGCGCGCCGCCCCAACTCCAGCGGAGCGGCGGCCGGC